AAAACAAAGTATATGTATATAGGGTTCTTCGGTACTATCTGTGGTTTCAGACATCCACTAGGACTCTTGGAATGTATCCTCTACAGGTAAGAGGGGAGACTATTGTATTCCTACACTGGATTTAAATGGTATAACATTTCAATATATGGACACCATTGGAACAAAGGAAAACCACAGACCTAGACACCAGCCTCAGCAATGTGGTGTTCAGACAGCCCCGAAGGCGATTATAAGTAAGATGTGGTGCCACCTAGCTGTGTGGTTCATGCATCACTCTTGATATATATTGTTTTCAGCCACTGATGAGCAAATGTTTTCCTTAAATGTACTGCCATTGAAAGGAGAGATGCCAGCTTGAATAGGAGAGTAATTGGGTACTAAACAAGTCAGCGTGTGGTCCTTTATAGTTTTCACAAACCCTTTTCATTGTCACCCCACTTAGGCTACAAAGCAGTCCTGCAAAGTGGGCATTCTCTCTCTTTTTTGTAAATGAGGAAAACTGAGACTTAGGTTAAGGGGCTTCTCTCTAGTTTCCCCAAATGAGTCATACTCACTTCTGCACAGGATCCACCATTGTCAGAGTGGAGCTCAGGGGTCTAAGGGCATCTGCCTCAGTCTCCTGACATCAGGCCCCTTTCCCAGGAGAGCAGGGAAAAGCTAGCTGCACCTTTGATCAGCAGCTCTGGCAAAACAGCTTGGGCTCTGGGCTGTTTTCTCTGTTCTCTTTCCTCTTCACCACCTTCAACCTTACACACCCACCACTAATCAGTCATAAAGGCCCCAGATCCTCAAGAACTCCTAACATTAGGGCTCATTTTCACCCATGCCTTTGACTCCTGTTTGACATTCTCACCTGCAAAATGGGAATAATAACAATAACACTTTCCTCATGGGGATTTTGTGAGCATTAAAAATAGATAATGCCCGCCGAGTGCTAGCTCAGCAGAAGCAGATGAAAGGCACTCAGTGTAGACAGCACTGCTCCAGGTAATACTCCCTTTCCTTAGGACTTCTTTCCTTTTCGTACTTGCTGCTGTGAAGGTTAAAAAAATAATAATGTTTTTTTCTCCTACCTTCTAAGTTCTTCTAGCTGGGCTAATAATCAAATTAACAGAGACAGATTAACAGGAGAAAATCAAAATTTTGATACATGTGCATGGGTAGTTCACATAGCATGAAAATTCCAAAGACAGTGTGGCAACTTTGGGTATATAAGACATTCTTGGACAAAGGAGAAAGAAGGTAGGGAATGGGGATTTAGATTTCAGAAGTGAGAATGGGCAATTTACAGGTGGTTGAGGAAGAGCTGGAACATACTCGGCAGGGAAATTCTTGCTGGGCAGCTCAGAAACAATGGGACACAGCCCGGGGTGTGGGTGGGGCTGGGGGATGCTATCTAGCTAACAGGCTTGGAGTCTTCCTGACTAATGCTGGGGTGAAGATTCTTAAAGTGATTAAGTCAAAGCTTCCTTCCTAAGGCAGGTTCTTCTCTCAGACTCTCTTTGGCGGGAAAGAGGGTGGGGTGTTCTTTCTAAATTTTGTTTCTTAATAAATAGCCTAAAATCAGTATCCAAAAAAAACAGCTTCAGAGGGGCAAAATTTTGGTTCCCTTCAATGCCAGTGAAAGATAAAGGTGAAACCTATTCATGTAAGTCTTTCCTCTTTTCTAAGCCCATTGATGATATTCATTCCTTATTGTCCTGAGATACTGGCAGGGCAGGATTATTATTCCCGATTTTTCACATGTCTGATCAAAGGAGCAACCCTGTCTTCATGGTGTTTCTCATTCTTCATAGCACCTGGCAAGAGAGAGAAAAAGTTAGGACTGGCTTAGAAAATGTAGAGAAATTGTAGGGTTTGGAAACCAGAGCTGATATTGCCGTATCTTTCTAATCACAGAGTCTCTCCTAACCTATTTGACCACTTGTTGCCCATCTCTATTCACAAGAGCTAGAGATGTCCAAAAAGGAACTCGTGGCCTCTGCCTTTGTATATATATTTGGGTATAAGAACTACAATGCACTCTAACTTAAGACAAGGGGAGTTTATTGTAATAAAAGCATTTCATAGACTCCAAGGGCAAAACCTGGAGGAACTGGTGCTGGAAAGCCAGGGGAGCAGCTGTCCATCCTCTCGTGGAGCCACGTGATAGCCATTTCAGTCTCTCTTCTGCTTCCCTCCTCTGCCTCATTTTCTTGCTTTTCCCTAAGAGGACAGATTTATCTTACTACTCAGGGCTGCTCTGGTCTCCATAGACTGACTGGCATATGACTGACTTGCCATAGTATTGACTCCAAAGCAAATTCTCCCTGGAAACATCTCAGGTTGTCCCAGCCAACTGACTCAGTATCTGGAGAAATGAAATGAATTGCCCATCATGGACCAGGTGCCCTTTCTGTGCAATCAACTGCCTGTGGGGAGGGGCAGATAAGCACAAGGCAGTGGTACCTATTTTAAATATTTTCCCTCTGGTCCAGAGCTATAGAATGAGGATAAGGCAGAAGATTCATTCCCTTTCTAGGACCTATCTCAGAAAGTGGTGCTGTCATCCAGCCATAGAAGCTGAAATCATTGCAGCCACCCTGACCTCTTTCTCCTGCCCTCTGCCTAGGGCATTATTCATTCAGCAGGTTTTGGTCAAGGGCCTTTTGCGTGGCATTTGTGTCAGGCTGTGTTGTTTCTTTCCTTTACCTACTTGCTCATCTTTGAAGATTCTGTTCAAAATCTCTATTTCCGAAGCCCCTCTGTTGACATTCTAGGCTAGCCAAGGACCCCTGTCTTCTATGAGTAGTGTCTTTGCTTTACTTGTAAAACTAGATAATGAAATTAATAACTTTAAAGTCTGTAGTCCTTGATTAGATTAGAGGTAGCTCAAGGACAAATACCGAGTGTTTTGTTTGGTTTGGTTTGGTTTTTATCATTGTAAGCACAGCATTCGGCATAGTTCCTGCCACACAGAAACTAAATAGAAATTTTAAAAATTGAACGAAGAATATGTGATTCAATGAACAACTGAATATATTTTCATGGGACATGATAAATATTTTAATAGCATTAATTTCTCTTTAGACATTTTGACACAATTCATACTAAATATACTAACTTTTTAAAAAATTTATTTATTTATTTCAATTTGTTTCAAGTATACAGTACATTTGTTAGACATTTATATAGTTTATAAAATGATCCCCCTAATTGCTCCTTTTCTCCTCTGGTTTTCACCTAGCCAATACATTACTGCTCACTGCATTCCCTGTGCCGTGTTCCCCATCCCTATGACCATCAATCAACTACTAATTTGTACTTCTTTAACCTTTCACCCCATTCTCCCATCCCCCAACTCCACCCCCTCTGTCTGTCACCAAATTGTCCACTATATTTGTGAGTCTGGTTTTGATTAGTTTGTTCTTTTTGTTCCTTAGATTCCGCATATAAGTGAAATCAATGGTATTTATATTTCTCTGTCTGACTTATTTTACTCAGCATAATAACTCTAGGTCCATCCATGTCGTTGCAAATAGTAAGATTTCATTTTCTTTAATGGCTGAGTAATATTCCATCATATATATGAACCATAACTTCTGCTGATGGGCATTTAGGTTGCTTCCATATCTTGGCTATTGTAAATTGTGCTACCATGAATATTAAGGTTATGCTAACTTTTAAAACAGAATTAAACTCCAGGAATTTATGTCACTCACACAATTTTCTTTTCTAAAATTTCTACTTGGTTCTTTTTAATAATTTCTATTTCTCTGCTAAAATTTCCTATTACTTCAGTCAATCTAACATATTATCCTTTAAGTCACTGAACATTATTACAATAGCTGCTTTAAAATCCTTGCCAACATCTGGATAATCTCAACATCATACTCTGTTAATTGCTTTACTCCTGAGAATGCGTCACATGTTTCTTTTTTTTTTTTTATGTTATATAATTTTGGATTGTATATCAGACATTGTGAATGTTACAGTGGAGACTCTTGATTCTTTCTTATTCTCCCAGAGACTGTTATTACTTTGTGTAAGTGAGCAACCAAATTTGTTGTACTCAAACCAAAAACTCTCGGGTATCAGCTTAAATCTAAGTTTAGTTTTTTTTTTTTAATTTTTAATTAGGTTATGCATATATGTGGTTCAAGATCAACCAGAGATTTGGATAGTTTATACACAGAATTTTTAGTCTCCCCTCATTAACTCTCTCCTTTCTGAGATTCTCCACTCCCTTCTCAGAAATGCCATTCCCCCAAACTCTGTCTACTAATTCTGTAGTCCATAAAGTCTGCAGGTTTTCTAATAGAGTTTTAACAGCACTGCTTGAGGTCTGCCTTAGGCTAAAAGTTATAAAAAGGGGAACTCCCTCCTTGTCTTCCTTTTCTTTTAAGTGTAGAGTCCTCTTCAGAATCTGCTTACTATTTTCCACCTTCCAGTGTTTTCAGTTTACAAATAAATAAATATAAATTATATATATATGTAGATATATGTTTTGTCCAATGCTTATGGTTATCATTTATGGGTTAGTTGGTAGTTGGGCCAGTGTGAGCTAATTAGTCCATGCTACTAGACGGTTGAAGTAGTCTACATTTCAGTGGTGAGTGCCTGGATTAGTGTAGTGCCATGAACCATGGGAAAAAGTAGGCAAATACAAGAGATAAGATGTAAAGAAATTTTCGTGACACCTAGATATTGAGGAATTAAGATAAAAAGGACATCACAGTGTTAAGCATGAGTTGCTAAGAAAAGAGGTATGCTAAACGAAACACAGAAGTTGGAATGGTATCTTAGCCAGCTTGAGCTGCCATAACAAAATACCACTGAGTGACTTAAATAACAGAAATTTATTTCTCAGAGTTCTGGAAGCTGAAAAGCCCAAGATTAAGGTGCCAGCCAACTCAGTTTCTTGTGAGAGCTCTCTTCCTGGCTTGTAAATGGTCACCTTGTGATGTGGCTTCACACGGCAGAGAAAAGAGAGTGAGTTCTCTGATATCTCTTCTTATAAGGATACAAATCTTATCATACTGTGGCTTCATTTAACCTTGATTATTCCCATAAAGGCCCTGTCTTCTAATACAGCCACATTAGGGATTAGGGCTTCAACATATGAATTTTCTGAGCAGGGAGACACTAAAGTCTATAGCACATAGAAAACTAGTTTAAAATAGAAAAGATTATTAATTATTTTAGATGTGTTGTACATGAGATGAACAGTGTACAAGTTATTGGAGATCTGGGATGGAGCATGCAAAAGAGATTATTGATGATAGATTTATAATCCTTTAACACAGAGCTTGGAGCTGAGGCCATGGAGATGGATGAGTTCTCTGAAGGAGAAAGCACTGATCATACTGAAGATTAAAAAGACAAGGATGGAGACTTGCATAAACTCACAGAAAGTGAAGGGAGAATAAGTCAGTAAATAAAATAAGCAAGCTGTTGAAGAGATAGGAAAAGAGTCAAGAAAATAGAAGAGTGTCAAGGAAGATGAGAAAGAGTAGAGGGCTGTGAAGAAGTGGTCAATGGTGTTAAAAAGTTAGAAAAGTCTTGAAATAGGCCATTGATAAAAGGGCCTGGATTTGTGAATTAGGAAACCAGTACTGACCTTTTAGGAAGCAGTACTCAGTAAAGCGATTTGAAGAAATTAAGGTAGAAGACGTTAAGGAAAAGCAGGATGAGAGTGATATAAGGACCATATTTGGAACATAAATGGTGAGTTAGATTACCAGAGCCTTGAATGCAATGAGCAACCACTGAAATGTTCAAAACATTACCCAGAGCAAAATGAATTCAAAATGAGTGCTCAAGTAACTAATCCTTTCAGCTGATTGTGTTTATTTTTTCCACAAAAGTCACTGTGTACCAACTCTACTAAGCTAGGTTATAGCAAAACAAATAGTCCTTGTCCTCATGTAACATCTGTGTCTCTTCCGTTTCCTGCTAAGGCTCAACTTCTGTCTTCTGGGCATTGAGATTTTCCCTTAGCTGGAGCTCAACTAGAACTATTGTTTTTTGTTTGTTTGTTTTGTTTTTAATACAAACTTATTGTTACAGTTTTTTTATTTTTAAAATTTTAATTGAGATATAATTGACATATAACATTAGTTTCAGGTATACGACAAAGTAATTTAATATTTGTATATATTGTGAAATGATCACTACAATAAGTCTAGTTAACATCTGTCACCATATATAGTTACAACTTTTTTTCTTCTAATGAGAACTTTTAAGATCTGTTTTAATAGACCTGTTCTTGATAGGACCATCTTCTTTACTCTTGGTTAACCACATCAGACCATACTATCTGCTCCTTAGGAGCAGAAGAATAATTCAATGATTTTTCATGCTTATTAAAGTTAGACAAAATTTTAGAGTTAATTAACTTTTTCATGAGACTCCCCATTTCGTAATTTTTTAGAAAAGTAGTGCATAATGCAATAATGATACTGCCAATTATCAAATGTGTCAGCTTAACTTTATCATGTTTTATTATCATAAATGTAAACTCTACACATAAAATGACTGTTTAGTGCAGTTAGAATGATTCAGTTAGACTGCCATCAATCCTCAGCATTAGCATGTTTAAAAGCTCTTACTGTGTACCCAGGGTTGAGATCCATTGCATTAGAGATGTGTTGTTTTGTTGTGGTATTTTGCTGAAGAACACTGCCTCTGAGGTGGGCACAGAGATATCAGTGTCTTCTTCATTTGCAAGTGCTTTCTTCTCCCTGCACTTACTTTAAACCGACTTCTACTGGTGTTCTGCCAATAGAACTCTACTTAATAAACATATTATAAATAATCTTAACCTCATAAAAAGATTATAAAAATCATAAAAATATTTTTTAATCCAATGCAAACATCATTTTATGGGTAGCAAACAATTGTGCCTGCTAAGTACTTGCAGTTAGAATGTATTTTTAATTTCTGATGAGTCCCTTTTCTTGTGTAATACTAGTTTTGACTTGTTCTCATTTGGCATAGCTTGGATTCTAGTCTCTTCCAAAATACCTTATAAAATTGTTTTAATGTAAAGAAAAGGAAAATGTTAAGCCTCTCATTTTGTCTAATGACTCTATTAGGAGCAAGATGGAATATCTGGCTTAGAAAGAGTCTGTGTGTGTCTAGATACATTCTGGCATTTGCCAGAAATAATGTCATGCTATATAGTCCCTACTCTGGTTTTGAAGAAAAGAGACATATGGAAGACATATGTTGAACAAGAAGGTAAAAATTGTACCAAGCCCTATTTTACAGCATCAGAATATTGAAGTTATCTACTGACGTGATACTAAATATGAGACGGCAACCTCAAAAGTCTGAAGGGGTCATGCCACTAACTTCACTACTTGGAAACCCTGCACTAAAATGCTGTACTGAAACCAAGTTTAACACCAGCAGTTACATCACCTTTTAAAAACCCTGGGAAGGCACAAAATATGGGGGAAAAAACAAAACAAAACAAATCTTGTCATTACTTTACACCCTTGGTCTGAGTAAATAAGAGAGATCATGGGAGAAAGAAACAAGCTAACGCAATGGGAATGGAAATAGGGATTGTAAAAGAGTAATTGCCATATGGTAGACCCCAATAAACAGGGATTGAATGAATGAAATGAGAAAGAAACATATTGGAAAATGATTTGGGCTGAAGCACAGATTTCATCTGGGAATTGCCTGGGAATTGGCTCTATTAATCAAGTGTTAAATTATCAATGTGCTTATTTTAGTGAGGGTATATTTTTATCACTGATACAGTGACTACCAAAGGGGGGAAAAAGAAGAGAGCTTATCAGAGAAAGAGAGGCGAGTGCTTTCTCTTTTCTGTTTCCTATGTTTTATTGCACATCATGCATTCTTATAAGATATGACCTAAAATTCTAAAGGAACCTGACCTTTCAAAACTCATCTGAATTTTGTTAGGACTACTAAGGATTCCATGGTTGTGCCAGAAAGTTAACCTACTTAGGCTAATTTAGGAAATCTTTCTGTTTTTTTTTTTGTCTTCTATTTTGCATTTATTCCTTCACTTTCATTCCAGTCAAGCCTGTTAGTTAAGTATATGGAAAGCCTCTAGTGCCTCTGGGCAACTGTTGCTTGGAAATTTTACTATCGAGTCTTTTTTTTACACACTTAATGATCAGTCACTAACTTTAAGGTTTTAAAGTGGTTCTGATAATTTTATAAATGGCCTTATTGAGGTATAACATAAAATTAACATAACATAACATTTACCTGTTTCAAGTATATAGCTCAGTTAATTTTAGCAAATTTATATGTTTGTACACCATGGTCACAACTCATTTTGGAACATATCCCCCTCAAAAATTCCCTGTGCCCTTCTGCATGCAGTCAATCTTCTCCCCCACCTCCAGCCCCAGGCAACTACCGATCTCTTTCTGTAGCTATGGTTTTCTGCAGCGTTTGGTAGAAACTTCATCTGAATGAAATCGGAGTATCTGATACTTATTTTTAGTTTAGAAACAAAGTTTACCTATTAAAATAGCCAAACCAACTAAATTAAATGGATCGTGTATTTCACTATAAACAGCAGCAGAATAAATTAATTAGAAGTATTTTCTTAATCAGGTGCTATGACTTTATTGTATGTCTCATTTGCTTTGCTGAATTGCAACTTCTTCTCTTTTTGCTTCATATGTTGTTCAGTTTTGAACAACATATTATTTCTTCAAGATATATGGATTAATATTCTTTTAAACTTCAGGCTTTATTCTAAAGTCTATATTATTATGACATTTCCCCCACCCCCTGCCACCCCAAGAACAAGTATTTATGTGTGTACAAAGGAAAAGAAAACAGAGATACCTAATGAGCCTTCAAATATTCACTGATAGATGAACGGATGGAAGAGGGATTGATGACTTTCATATATGTAGGTCTTAGGAAAGTGGTTTATAACATAATTTCTCAGGATGTAGAAAATTAATAAGTTGCATGTATTTACAATAGAATTTCACTCTGCATGTATTTTTATTTAACAGAAGGAATGTGAAACATGTGCTAGCAAGGAATAAAGCATCACACTGGACGAAGTCCTATGTTTTACCAGAGTTTCCCTATGATGTCAAGAGCATGCTAGCGGAACAGAAGTGTCCCGATCATAGCGTGAGGATAAGGATCATTGAGTTTCTCCAGGCCGACATGACTAAGTATCTGGAAGGCTCATTGTGAGTAATAACAGGACTTGCTCCTGTGGGAGAGGGTCTGTTTTCAGAGTAAAATAGAATTCATTTGGAACCAACTCTCTTCGGATTTGGGATGGCATATTGGTAATAAGTCCAACATGGCCCAATAGTTGAATGTCTACACTGTTATCTAGAAAGAGTTGAAGAAAAATGAGTGCAATTTAAACCTTAAAGGAAGGAATGTGAGCTGCTTGATGTGATAAGTGTCCTCCTTGTTGCGCTGACCAGGTATCCCACCACGCAGCAGTATAACGATGTGGTCAACGCCCTCCTGCAGGCCCACCCTTTCCTGGACGAGGATGGCTGTGGCTTTGTAAGTGACCGCATGGTGCCATTTTGTTAATCTCGGCCTATTTTAAAATAATTGCCTTGCATTGTTCAGTAATGTTATGCCTCACCCCAATTTCTTCAGCTTCTCTCTCTCTTTCTCTCTCCTCGATACCTTCTGTGCCTCTCTTTGTGTTTCTCTTCCTTTTTTTTATAGACTTTATATTTTAGAGCAGTTTTAAGTTCAAGGAAATTGAGATGATACAGACATTTCTCCGTATGTATCCTCTGCCCCCCACACATGCATAGTTTCCCCTATTACCAGAACCCCTACCAAGTGGTACAGATTTCTTTTTGTCTAGGACAATCTCTCTGCTCTTTTTGTTTTTCCTGGTATTTACTTTTTGGACAAGTCCAGTGTAGTTGCTGTGTAAGATGGTCCACATTCTGGGTTTGTCTGGATGTTTCTTGATGATTATATTTGGGTTTAAAATGTTGGGCAATGATCTGCTGGGGGTACTGTGGACTCCTTCACGTATCAGATCAGGAGGCCCATAAGTTCAGGGCTGTTTTTTATTGCAGAGTGATTGGAGGAGAGCTGTATTCATGTAGGTCTTTCCACACGCCCTCCAGTGGGAAAACTATGGAGAAGGGGGACGATTAATCAATGACATAAATATTATCTACTGAGGCATCTGAATTAGGAACTCATGATGCCAGGCATGTAGCAACTCGTTGGTTGAGTACTCATGTGAAAAACTGCATTTGATTTGTCTTTTTATTTTTGTTCCTATCAGACAGTTAATAAGGAGAGAAGGGAGAGTCTGGGAAGAAGAAATTGGCAATTTAAAAATGTCCTAGCAGTTGATCGTTATAATACTTCCCAACAGGCCAGCAGATTTAGAAAACCTTCAGAGCTATAGGAAATATGAGAGAAAAAATATATTTGCACTATTTCAAGGCTAAAAAAAATATAAACCATCCATTATTTCTGTGCTGTTGTTAAACAATGATGGTGGAGTCCGGAATCCCAGCCTGTGGGAAGTGATAAAGCATCTCTGACTCACACATTCCCAGGTGCTTAATCAGGGGCAAAACTGTCCCCCAACCTCAACCCACAGTACACCTCACCAGGGCTGTGGAAGGTTTTATGAACAGCACTTTAGTTACAAATAGCTACTTATTTGACTCTCCCAAAACCCACTGAAATGGTCAGGACTGACCTTATTGCTCTCTCACTGTGCTGGGCTTGGTGAGCAAAGCAGACATGAGCCTTGTCTTTGCGTGCTTGTAGCCCAGTGGAAGTAAGACAGAGAAGGAAGGGAGGGAGGAAGGGAGAAAGAATGAAAAGAACAGAAAAGAAAAGCAACAGAAACAGAATATCGTCACATAGATGATGGTACATACCGGTGTGATAAGTGTTGACAAAGAAAGATGAGAGCTGACAATCAAGAGAAAACAGCTGTTAGGGTGGCCATAAGGGAGTGGTGACTGAGCTGAGATCTGGATGGAGGCAGAGCGAGAGTTAGATACCAGCAGGGTGGGGGAGGGATATCTTTGTGTTTGCAACAGTAAATGTTCCACAAATATTTAAAGAGTGAATGCCAATAGTAATCGCCGAAGCGAATTTCAAGGGATGATAGAAAAATCATATATGGATTGATAAATTTTCTTTAAATGCATCAATTTGTATGCATAAGCCATTATCGGTTCCTTTCTAGAGCTCACTAGAAAAGTAGAGTACGTTGTGGAGACAGCAAAGTAAGGTGAAAAGTATCCAATTTTAGGAATTAGAAAATCTAGATTCAAGAACCAGTATATTTACTCAATAGCTATATGACATTGGGAAAATATTTTTATTTCTCTGACTCCTAATATAAGGTTTGCAGTTTTTATAGCAGTATCACAGAATTTCTAAGGGTAAATGGAACGATAGATAGATTATTTCTGTTACTGTGATGTGAAAATATTTCCAGCCTGAAAGTGATAGAAAAGATTTTATTGTTTATATAGAATTATTTCAGCCTCTTCAAAGATTAACTGTCCTGTTTTATTTTATACAGTTTTTATGGAAACGAGCCCTCAAAGATCGCTTTAAATATGTTCGAAGACCCATAGAAGATGATGAACAAGTGATGAGAAATAAGTGTAAATTTGGACACCGAAGAGGCCAGACAAGGAGATCTCTTGCTGATATAAGATTCGATGAAATTAAAATTGTCCAGATAAAAGTAAGAATCTTTAATTATTCTTTAATTGAATCTTTAATTGCTCTGACAACTTATTGATCAGTTGATTGATTAAGGGATAATAAGTAATAGCATTTGAAATAAAACAAATAAATATCCTTTTGGTGTAGTCAGAAAGCAAAAAAACATTATGTTTTGCATAGCAAATAATGTGAATGACAGTATTTCCAGAAGGGAACTTCCAAAACCAGTCTGACCAGAGTATGTTCTTGAACATCTCATGCTTATTCTTTTACGACCTTCGAAAAAACTGGAAAAACCCTTATGTTCTGGGTCCTTGAATATCTTCCTGTCATCTTAAATGTATTTTGTGTTCTCGTGGTTCTTATTGGTACAGAAAGTTTTTAATACTCGTAGTGTAGGGTTAGGTAGGCTGTAGTCTCAATGTGTCATGGAGGAAGGTAGTGCACATGTGTCGACACATACTCTGTATTGCCCTTTCTTTGATCAGAAGGGGTCCCACACCACCCAAGGCAGCCATGGGGAATGTCAGGCCAAGGACTTCAGGCAGGGCCTGGAGATTTCTCCCTCAGCAGCGGGTTTGCTGTATACAATGTCCACGTGGCTTCTAATTATCTGAGATCCTAAAAGTACTCCTTAATTTCCTCGGAGCCCACAAATATCCTCAGAAACAAGAATGTCCTCTACGGATAGAGTAGATTGAACTCCTTAGGGAGGATGTCCAAACCCTAAGTATAAAACCTCATGCTCCCCCAGTTCTGTTTCCACATCAATCCAACATGAATACATAATTCAGTTCTTCACCACAAACACATTTATGTTAGTGAATGTACTTGGTACAAATATTCTATTTTGTTCTTCAGCTGGTATATTTATTTGCCATTAATAGAGCAGCCAATTGGGTCGAGTCAATTTTATTAGCACTACTAATAGCTCCAGGGGACATGAATGTTCTTTAACATATTTTGTAAACCATTCATCCTAGCATCATACATAAAGAAAAATTTTAGATAAAGGTATATATTTAAATAGCTTATTATAATTTTAAAAAGAACTTTCAAATAATAGGCTAGTTAAGAATATAATTCTCTGCCTGCTCTTTGACAAGATAAGACAGTTGGAAGGCGCCTAAATTTAGTGGCGTAACTTTTTAGAAAGTTTGACTGCTATATTCTAATATAAGCTAAAATCACGATAAAGACAGAATTACATTTATTTAAAAATATCTTTTATATTCTTAAAATTAAAAGTAACTCTACAAAGGAACATGATTATGCATAAATTGGTTTTCTCAAAAAAGTCGATTTTCAGTCTACTAAAAATGGAGTTCCTTTATAAATAAATTAACATTTTGCAAACTCAGTTTTCCTTCTTTTCCATGATGCATGTCCCACTAAAATTCACTGGAATGAATGAATGGTAAAATTGGAAAATTAGCAATTGTCCCAGCACTAGAACTCAAGGGTAAATCCTTGAGGTCAGGGCTCATCTCCAGGGACACTAGGCTAAATGGTAGCTTCTCTTTTGTTGATATATCATCACTGAACCAACTTGTACACCCATCTTTGTGTTCCTTCTCAAAGCCACCTTAGTTTTTTATGTAACTACAGCTTTCATGGCTCCTCCCATCCCCCAGACATACCTGAATCCTAAAATGAATCCTGCTGAGACCCATGCAGGGGCTTTTGCTTCAAAAACCACAGAGAGTTGAATGTACAAGGCCTCAAGATAAATTAAGTTGCAAAAAAATTTAGTTTTGACCTTCCTGCCAGCTGGGGCAAAAATCGATTATAAAGTGGTCATTGTTCACATCCGAAAAGACAACATTTTTCCTGGCAAACAATCTAATTGGTAAGGATTTACTTTTCTCCTCCTTACCAATGGAGCTACAAATTGCTGATTCTTTTAAAAACTGTAACATCCCTGTTTATAATCTGTAAAGCCAAAGCTTTAAAAGATGGAGAAATATTTATAATAGGAAATTACACACAGAAACAACTGTGTGTCGTACCCTCCATGGTGATTAAGCAAATGTAAAAACACTAAGAAGAGTGGAGGAACAAATCCGCTGAATATACTACTTATCTCATGCGATTTTATACTTAAGATGAATTGCTGAAATAATTTCCCATCTCCATTTTGAACTTCTGACAGCTGCTTTTTAATATCTTTAAGATTTCTGAAAATGGAAGATATTTGGATTAAGAGACACTGGAAATTTCACATTTTAAAAAGTTTCTTGACCGGGCACAATATTTCCATAATACAGATAAAGTTATTCCCTGTGCTGCAGAAATGGAAAGTGCTGATTCAGGCAAAAAGCCAGGAATCAGGCCATTCCCTCAAAGGCAGGGAAGAGGCTTTGGCTAAACTGGAGGAAGATTTTGAGAAGAGAAGGAAGAAAGGAGAGGAAGAGATTTTCACTGGTTTGGTTTTGTTTCTGTTGTTCTTTAGAGGTTGGAAAGATTCAGGTAGCTGTCTCAATGAAGGAAGGTGCATTTCTTAGTCCTGTCACATGGACTTCTTCAGATAACATAGGCAGCTGCAGAATTTGTGTGAGTCTGAGCATAGGCCAGTGATTTTTCGTCCCTCTCTCTCCGATCTCAATCTCCTGGGATAGTTTAACACAGCACAAACTATACTACAAAACTTGAAGCATCAGCAGCACCAAAACACCCACCCATGCTTCAGTATATCTGGGCTCCTCATATTCAACGACTAAAAAGTCTTGTCACCATGTTATGTGGATAGCTGTACTCGTCAGAATCCCAGACTATGTACCCAGAACAAATCCCGCAAAATGCTGGGTATTTTGCAATAGTTAAAAGTCCTTTTCCAACCTCACAACCTCATGTCTCTGCTGCTTGTAGGGTCACACAGCCAAATGCAGCATAAGTGCTATACTTATTCATCTGACTTTTAGTTTTAGGTCCAAATAAATCTGTAGACTTATGAATTGATAAATTTGTTTCTTTTGCTTAATTATCTTTTCCTATACTTCATCATGTATTTATAAACTGTCGACTTAATAATGTCCAAAACTGTGAAGAATTTATATGAGTTTATTTGAGCCAAACTGACGACATATGCTGGGAAGCAAGATCTCAAATGCTCTGGAGAATGACAGTTTTGCAGTTTGTTTTACGCATTTGAAATTAAGGTGGGAATGTAAGGAAGATTACATGAGGATGGGAGAAAGAATGAGGATCAGATTATATGATACTAAAGATTATGTGCTCTCTTGAGGGTAGTCTGCTTTAGAAAGAGGGGTATGAAAGAGTGGTCAGTACACAAGGAGGAGGGACAGATCTGGAAGGGGCATTTCAATGTGTTTTAACCTAGATGCACAGAAACAACGGACAGGGCTTTTGCTAAAGGCAAAAATAAGCCTATTACTAAAGAAGTTATATGCCTGGGATGTAACTACTCACCATGACCTGCCCAGTTAAAAATGTATGGTTGGATCTCCTTGCAAGGTTACTTTCTATAGAATGCCTTTTTTTATCCACAAAATAGAAGTATAATTAGATTCTCGAAACAGTAAACTTAAATAAGTAATTTTATAAGTTGCTTACAATATTATCCTTTTTAAATGATAAAGACACTGGCTTTAAAAGTTTATAGGGATTATATGGAACTGCAAGGCAGTGTAGAGGAATTACACTTTATACTATAAATTTTTTTTTTTAATTAGAAAACCTCAGGAGCTAATTAAAGTTGAGTAAATCAAACTCTTTATGGTACGTTAGCATCATTGCCCTGTGGCCTTTTTCTGGTTCTATTCATTCCTTTTTTGTCCACATTCCTGTCCGCCCTCCTCCCCACCTTCGCCCTTCGGCAACCATTCTAATGTCTCTCATAGGTATCTTTTTGTTGTAAGTGTTCCAAAATGTGTATTATCACTTTGAGTTTACATATATTCGACTGAATGTAAATAATATTCTTACCTCATTCTGGGTTTACGTTTTTCACTGACACTCTTTAAGACCCACATATGCCACTATGTATATTTCTAGTCCGTGATTGTAACAATCATTAAGTACTCCTTACCGCAAGCCCTGTTTCTCCCCACCACAAATTGTACCATCATATATGTCTGGTTATGAACCTACCTGTGTACCTGTGTGTTATTTTTCTGGGTCGTGGGAGTGGAAGTGATGGGGCAGAGGGCATGCACGTACTTAATTTGACCAATTGCTCTTCAGAATGACTGTCAGTCTCACTCCCACAGTAGCACATTTCCCTGTAATCCTGCCAACCCTTGGCATTATCCAGCCTGCCAGGGGTTGCCAGTTCTAATAGGTATAAAGTGTAATCTCAATCTTGTAATTTGCATTTCCCCAGGTAACTAATGAATTCGAGCATCTTTTCACATGTTTGTTAGCCTTTTGAGTTTCTTCTTTTAGAAAAGTACCTCTTTAGATACACTTCCATTGTTTTAATGAGCTAGCATCTTTTTCTTGTTAATCTGTAGGAAGCAGTCCTTCCCATGCCCTAAGTCACAAAGATATTCTTCTTCTCTTTCTTCTCCTAAATTTATAGTTGCACTTTCACACCTTTGTATGTGCTATTAAGTAGGGATCTGCATGTCGTGAGTCACTTTCTCAGTACCAATTACTAAACAATCTGTCCTTTTTTCATTGGCTTATGGTGGCACTTTTATTGTCTGTTAAGTTACCTAATAGACTTGGATGTGTTCTGGGGGCTCTTTCTTATTCCATTGGTTAGTTTAGCAGTCTGTTCTTATGTCATTGCCATATTACATTTGAGTACTTAGTGATTATTACTTAGTATCACTTAATACCTAGAATAAAGATATTTTTTCTTACCAGTGGGAAATGTGCTAGGTCAGGGAAATCCCTTAATAGAAAGGATTCGGGGGAGATTTGTCTGCATTTTCTAGGATAAGGAGAACTGCAGGGAGTTCTTTTCTTAGGAACTGACCTTTGGGCCAATCTGCACCATCTATCTTCTCATAGGAGAACTAGAGCCTGGGCTAGGGGTGTTGTGTTCAGGTGGGA